ATTTTTTATTCTTGCCTCGGGTGCAAAAGGAGCTAGCTACAGCTCAGATGGGAGTGATCTATATCACCTCCTGTTCATTCATAATTGTGGTTATAGTAAACACACTATGTCCTCATGTTATCAATGAACAAGAATACTCAGGATTCCTGTTCATTGATAACAGGGGATACAGAAAAAGAGATTGAGGACTTTGTGTTCTCAATCTCTTTTTCTATTTTAAAAGATGGTGCACCTCTAGTCAGAATGACTACACTAGGGCTGCAACTAACGATTATTTTTATAACCGATAGCCGATTCATCAAAAAATCGGATAAAAAAAGGACCATCTGTTATTTTAAATAAAATACACAAATGGAGTGTTACAAACATAAAGATATAAAACTGTATGCACATTTTTTGCTCTCACACCGCACTGGAGCGCAGGACATTGCAGTACAGCGCGTTCCAGTACAGGTGATCACACAGCGGGCAGAAGGGGCATTTGGGATGCCATTGAAATCAATGGCACCACAAGGCACATCCCGGAGCAGAATTTTCAGGCCAAAACCAAAAATGAAGCTTGCCACCATCTAAATATTTATTATAAAAGCCCAGTCATCAGTTTAGCGTTAGCCATGAATATTGGCCTGAAAATTAATGCTCTCACTCTGGGGCATGTGGCAATACCTGACATGTGTAGCACAATCATCGGTTTTCTACGTAGGTACACCGACTTGTGTTTCCGTTAGTATGTGCGCGTTCGTAGGGTTGGGGGACTTCACATTTTTTTGGGGGGTATTTTTAATTAAATTTTTTCAACTAATTTTTTTTTACCCCATTGCTATCACATCGTGGGGCTCACAATCCCCCTATGTGATAGCACATTGGAGGTGACAGATTCTCTTTAAGGTGATAGTAGGGGTCTTTTTGACCCCTACTGTCACCTTTCCACGTCACTGGGGAATGACAGCTGTCTGCTGAGGCAGCTAAATGTTAACACAGCAGGCAGTGGCGAGGAGGAAAAGCCAGCCTGCTATTGGCTATTTTACATTGCAATAGCAGGCTGGCTATTGCACCCGCCTGCAGTCAATCAGCAGAGGAGGGAACTGACGTCACAAGCGGAAGAATGGGGGGCACCAGCAGAGTAACGGTGGCACCAGCAGGGGCATGCAGAAGTCGGCGATTTCGACAGAACGCTGGTTGCAGCAGTCTGTGTCTCCGCTGCCACTGTTCACACCATGTCCGGACCAGAACGTTTTTTTCTGCACCTGAAATACATCCCAATTTATTCCTATGGTATTTTGCGGCTCTGTTTACACCAGTGAAGTCCGTTCCAGTGCGAGGAAATAAAAATGGCATGCACTGATACCAGTTTTTCAGTATCGAGTATATTTTTTTCACCAATACCACCAAAACCGATACTGGTGCCATGTTCCCCGATTATCAGGTAGCTGGGCGGCGGGTCAAAAAAATAAAAACATTTTCGGTTTTGGCCTGACAATTATTTTTTTTTATTTCGGTTTCGTTTAGGTTTTTAAATTTCTATTTTGGTGCACCTCTAGTCAGAATGACTACACTAGGGCTGCAACTAACGATTATTTTTATAACCGATAGCCGATTCATCAAAAAATCGGATAAAAAAAGGACCATCTGTTATTTTAAATAAAATACACAAATGGAGTGTTACAAACATAAAGATATAAAACTGTATGCACATTTTTTGCTCTCACACCGCACTGGAGCGCAGGACATTGCAGTACAGCGCGTTCCAGTACAGGTGATCACACAGCGGGCAGAAGGGGCATTTGGGATGCCATTGAAATCAATGGCACCACAAGGCACATCCCGGAGCAGAATTTTCAGGCCAAAACCAAAAATGAAGCTTGCCACCATCTAAATATTTATTATAAAAGCCCAGTCATCAGTTTAGCGTTAGCCATGAATATTGGCCTGAAAATTAATGCTCTCACTCTGGGGCATGTGGCAATACCTGACATGTGTAGCACAATCATCGGTTTTCTACGTAGGTACACCGACTTGTGTTTCCGTTAGTATGTGCGCGTTCGTAGGGTTGGGGGACTTCACATTTTTTTGGGGGGTATTTTTAATTAAATTTTTTCAACTAATTTTTTTTTACCCCATTGCTATCACATCGTGGGGCTCACAATCCCCCTATGTGATAGCACATTGGAGGTGACAGATTCTCTTTAAGGTGATAGTAGGGGTCTTTTTGACCCCTACTGTCACCTTTCCACGTCACTGGGGAATGACAGCTGTCTGCTGAGGCAGCTAAATGTTAACACAGCAGGCAGTGGCGAGGAGGAAAAGCCAGCCTGCTATTGGCTATTTTACATTGCAATAGCAGGCTGGCTATTGCACCCGCCTGCAGTCAATCAGCAGAGGAGGGAACTGACGTCACAAGCGGAAGAATGGGGGGCACCAGCAGAGTAACGGTGGCACCAGCAGGGGCATGCAGAAGTCGGCGATTTCGACAGAACGCTGGTTGCAGCAGTCTGTGTCTCCGCTGCCACTGTTCACACCATGTCCGGACCAGAACGTTTTTTTCTGCACCTGAAATACATCCCAATTTATTCCTATGGTATTTTGCGGCTCTGTTTACACCAGTGAAGTCCGTTCCAGTGCGAGGAAATAAAAATGGCATGCACTGATACCAGTTTTTCAGTATCGAGTATATTTTTTTCACCAATACCACCAAAACCGATACTGGTGCCATGTTCCCCGATTATCAGGTAGCTGGGCGGCGGGTCATGATCCTCCGCCCGGCTTCCTGATTGCATGGAAAGCCATTGTTCTATTGAAAGAACACCGGCTTCACTTCCCGAGGCTGACTGGCCAAGCTGCCTAGCAACAAGTGATGCCGGGTTCCTAGCCAATCAGGAAGCCGGGCTGCATGTCATGACCAGCTTCCCGATTGGCTAGGAAGCCGGCTTCACTTGTTGCTAAGCAGCCTGGCTTCCTGACCAATCTCCCTTCCAGCGATCTCTCTCTTACCGGAAGTTCCTGTATTGGAGGTAAGCATCGGAGCATTTGGGCGAGTACAAGTGCTCGCCCAAATACTCGGAATTGGCACCGATACTGGTTTCGGTGCATCCCTAATGTAAATGCATGCAAACACACTGAACTGCTCCTAAAAGTCCATTTTAAGCTTAAAAATGCACTAGAACGCATCAAAAACGCACTGCACCGTAATTTTAGATCTGTTCCACATCTGGTCTGAACATGGTGTGAACAAGCCCTCAACCCAGAAGACTGAGGACATCTTGTGGCAGAAAGCAATTACTGCGGGGAATAGAACCAGAGAGAAGGTGACTATTGCAGCTGGAGCTACTTTTTGGATGGATTAAAAATCGGAATGGAATGGGGGTTTACCTGTAACCAGGATCTCTTGGATAAGTAGTTGTGTGCATGGAACCCGTCACAGTGTAATATGGAAATCACTCTGGCAGAATATTGTAAATGATTATCTGCAGCATTGAACCCCCAGCCGCAGGACAATTTCCACTGCTGAGTTGGAGGTTTATATAGGCAAGTCCTCTTACATCACTGATCCTACTTCCCATTTGACAGATTCCATTTAAAGGGAAACGTCTGTGTTCCTGACAAAAGTGATATGGAGAGGCAGGGCAGTGAAATCCTTAACTTTGTAAATAATATGTATTACACAGGCTACCACATTACATTGGTACGGGTTCTTAAGGTTTCACATGTCTTAGTTCAGCAAGCAGCTATGTTGTCTGATTGCAGCTGTCTGCAGGACATACAGTAACATGATGTGTGTCCACAATTCTCTCAGGGATCACACAGATACTTCCAGAGTCTGTTTAAGTTATTCACCTGTTATATGTTTCCTGGATGGGATTGCTCCACATTCTTCAAAACATCTCATTGTCGTGCCCGCCCCCCGCGTGCTATCCTACTGGTAAACTGGTGCAGCAACAGAAACCTTCCTCTATATTCCCACTTGTGTCCTTCTTCTTTGTCTATTGTGTCACATTTTCTTTAGTGTCAGTCCATCTGCAATTAATTTTTCAGTTTTCAGTTCTGGACAGTTTTGTGATATTTGAGTCCCCATCTAGTGTTTCATACCTTGAACTTCAGTGGTCCCTGGCCCTACTCACTATAATAGGGGTATCACTCTCTCTAGTGGGGGTTTGACTTGTTTTATATACAGATGGAGGCTGCTGAGATGGGAGCACTGGAAAGAGGCTTTGTCCTGAGCCCCTGAGGGATATAAGGAACTGGTGGGGGGATTCAGCTTCCCAGCTTCCTTCCACGCTAGAATTGACATTTTTGGTGGGCTGTTTCTTTACTATCCCATATACAAACCCGGCAGGTAATGTTTGATTTGCCTTTAGCAGCCAGCCTGATCATTCAGTCAATTGTTGTACCTGTACTGGATTATTGACAGCTAGATTTGGGTTGCTATGGGTGACACCTTTGCTGGTGTTATTGCAACACTGACCTCTCTAGGATTTACATTGAAAATGAGTGCAAAGAATAGTAATGTTGTTAGCCCGCACAACCAATCACCTTCCAGCTGTTGCTTTTCTGATGGGTGTGGGAGACTGGCAGGAAACGTCTGTTTGCATCAGGCTTCTGGCTTTGTCCATTAGCTATGGTGCATGTGTTTCTGTGATTTGGGAAGATGGCGGAAGAACCACAGCCGCCATTTTTCCAGGTTTACTAAGAGGGCTGATTGAGCTGTTGATCTGTGAGGGAGCTGTGCAGTATGCCAGCCTGGCTTGTCTGACAGCATTTCAGTGTGAGCGGGTGGTTGCCATGGTAACAGAGGCTCAGGGAGGTCTCACGGTGACGTTGCTGGCCCTTCGCAGACTCTGGGAGCAGCAGATGTGAGATGGATGCTTGTGTGCTACCCTGACAACATACAGCATCTCTTCCCGTGGCTCGGAGCTCTCAGTACGCAATCTAATAGAAATTAAAACTGGGAAGGGAAGGTGACTGTGATTTGTCTAATGTGTCGATCTTGTCTCGTCCCCCAGGGCTTTCTCAGCCGTCGCCTTAAAGGCTCCATCAAACGGACAAAGAGCCAGCCGAAGCTCGACCGAAACAGCAGCTTCCGCCACATCATCCCAGGCTTTCGAAGCGTCGACAATGATCGGTAAGGTAATGGATTCTTCCCTGTGTGAATGAATACAGTGTAACTGCGCAGGGAGATATTTCTTCCTGTAGCTTGTCACATTGTATCAGTTCCTATCACCTGCTATCTGAATCCATGGTTGGCAACGACAGAAAAGTGCCCATTTATATGGCTAATGTCCACCCCAATCCTCTTCTCTGGGCATCCGAATTCCCCTTCACCATTGCCTCTAGGAGCTTCTAGTCACTGCCCATGTAAGTGGCACCCCACCATAATAACTATAAATGTCATCTATGTGACTGCAACTTTTCAGGGATGGAGGAGGTGACAGATTGGCTGAGTACAGGAATGTCAAACCTGAATGTATCCAGCACCATGAGACAGATACCTCGCTGCTGTGCTAAGCACAGTTAGGGGGTGACCCAAAACTTCATATCTGGAGATGAATTCCCATCAGACTCCCAGAGAAGTTACACTGAGAGTTATTACACCTTAGAAATGGTCTTCTTCTTTCTTGGGAACAGATGGCTTTGGGTTAGATTTCTAGTGTGGTAAAAGCAGATTATTAAGTGTTTCTGTAGAAAAAACTCCATTGTTGTGCTATATGAATTCTGTGCGCTAAAATGTTGTGCCTTATTGCAGTGGCTGGAGGCCAATGTTCAGTTGGTTCTCTGCGTTGTTGAGGTTTAATGAGGACCATAAAAAGATACATTTTATGTCAGTGGAGTCTGTCTATATTTGCTGTATTTTTCTGTTGGTCTATTTAAAAGATTTTATTGCTATAAAATGTATAAAATTGTTCTCTCATTGTTGGATTTTCTATGGTTCTAATTCCTTCATCAGTACAACATCTTTTTTGTATTATTGTTGTGGTTTGGTGTGGATTGTCAGCTCTCTAGTCCAGCTGATAATTAGGTGCTCCTTACAACAACATATACTGTATGCTGTTTTGACAATTGCAGTGAAGGGTCAGGCTGAAGCCTTGTGGGCTCATTTAGTAGAGCTACAGCAACCCATAGCAATCAGTCCAATATCGGCATACTACAATCACGTCAGTAAAATATTATGAGGGTAATTGATTAAAACGGGAGCAAAGAGAATCTGGAGCAGCTGTGCACAGCAACCAATCAGCTTCTATCTTTCATTTTCAAAGCTTAACTGAACAAACTGAAGAGGGAAGCTGATTGGTTACTATGGACAACTGCTCCAAATTCTGTCTGCTCCAGTTTTGATAAATTCCCCCCAGTTTCGGGCTGGTTACTGTGGGTTGCTGCACTTTGTGCTGCTGTAATGAGTGTGATGGTGAGGTATGGCATTGTGGATTTGCTGAGAATAAGCCAGTTCCAATAGTCAGAATAATTAACTTGTCCACTTCTGAGTTAGCTGTCCCCTCTGCCATATGTAGTCACCTCATGCTATGGTTTGCTTTTGTTCTCTTACTCAGTTCCGAATAACAGCCAGTCCTGGAATTTTGGGGTTTGTATTATAATAAAAAGCAGTAAATCATAGTGACTGCCATGTTTTATGACTCCGGTAAGGTAAATTCTGGTTGCTATGGGTAACCAGACATTGCAGTCATTGCTGCTGTTAGTGAATTAAAGATTCTGTGTGACCCATCTATGCAGCTCCGGAGCCAGAATATTGAAATTTTAAATTTTGTCACATGCACCATTCTAATCAGAGGTCCAATCATCTGCCAGGTAATTGGTCACGGCATATTGAAGCAGCTCTATGTTGCCGGAGTATATGTTAAATATTCGTGTGAACAAGAGGACAAAATGATGTTAGCACTGATGGCAGCTCCTGCTAAATACTGGCATCCCTGGTAAGGCTGGGCATTTTCCCCAGGAGACAACCTTTTGCCACTGCCTAGCACAAAGGGTTAAATCTTCCAGAATGTCCAGGCCGCTTTGGTGCGCAATAACTGATAGCAACCAGCGCATTCTCTGCTGGTATTAGTCCAGCCACAGCCACTGTATTTCCCTTTAATCTGTCTTTATAATGAGATGCTGCATGCTGGCTGAAAGTAGAAATGGGTCTTATGAGGGAGTGATTGCTATGTATGTTGGTAGGCTGAAAGGGGAGATGCTTAAATTAGCGTATAGAAAGGAAAGATTACAGGGTGGGGGGTCAACAATGTGGCGGTCATGTGACAGAAGGAGGCGGTCATTATGCCTAGTCTGCTGAATTGCTGCTTGTTAGACATGCTGTCACTTGCTGCGATATGCAGCCACACAGCAAAGCAAAATCATAGGGGGGTGAACATGAATTTACAGGTCTCTTGGCAGGCACAAAAATCTATTTCAGTATGTGTTTCATCTGTGTATTTAACTAGCTGTCATGGGAGATATACAGAGACTGCCAATGCTGACCTCAATCTGAAAATGCTAATTTCCTGCCTGTCATACTGATCCTCTAGGCTCAATAGTTTGAGAGTCTAAGAGCATACAAGAATTGTAGAATGCTTAGTGTGTATGCTTGTTTTGCACCAATGACTCAGAGGCTGTTTGGAATCCAGTGGATTAGCATGACTCGCAAGCATTGTTGGATTAATTGTCCCTTTTGGGTCTTGGGTCTTAAGCTGTTTTAAAATCATGCCCCCCCCCCATTCAAGAGAATTATGCTAAAGTGCAAGTGTACATTGGCTGTACATTGTGCATGTGATGGTAGCAGATATTATGGGAAGGATTCATCCAAGTATCAGGAATGTGTATTGTATGTGATCATTCCTTTAGCCTAAAGGAAGCCCTAATAGATATGATCATACAATCAATCATTCAATGGTCATTCAAATTAAATGATCAAATTGAGTGAAAATCACAAAGATCCCCGCATTTGATTGATTTAGTGAGCTCTCGATCGATTTAGACTCTGCCAAGATTATTGGCTGTGGCAGAATTATGTTGGTCACTGCTCATCAATTGAACACATACCTGTGTGTGCCAGCAGAACCAATTGTAATTCAGAACGATTGTTATCATTTTTCAAGGCTATTATACATTTATAATGGAAAGATCTTCTTTTCAATCCACATTTCCAGATGATTGCAAAGTGTGGAACAATATGGTGTGTGTTGCTTTTTTCAATATTTTAATCGATGATTGCTTGTTTGCAATCGCTCATACCTAAATCTATAATAGATGTGTATGGCCACCTTGACCAAGGCAACTATGAAGGCTTCAATTCTTCCTTCTGAAATAATGATTTTTGACTTTAATTAGTTATTACAATTTTGAAATTCATTTACTATGGACTGTCCTAACTTTTTATTAGAATCTCTACTGTCTTTATTATAATCTAGCACTGTGACTAGGCAGCTAGAATTTTCAATAGGAGGTTAGCAATGGCAGCCCCTCTACATCTGTCATGATAGGTTTAATAATTTAATACAGGGTTGGACAAATCAGAGATGCCAGGTAGCTAATGCTTCTTAATATTTAAAGCTGGCGGGACCAACTTTTGAGGTTTTCTCTAGTTGTAAATGGAGCTGGCTCCTAAACAAAATTCTGCTGGCTTCTGGATTGGAGAGACGGAATCCTGAATTCCAAATTCATTTGCACACCCCTTTTTTAATACCTAGCCTCCTCCAATGTAAAATATAAATATAATTGTTTAACACAATGTTTTTTATTGTTTGTGTTTTTCTATGGTATGTCTCATATATTTAAAAAAATAAAAAGCATAAGTGAAAAAAAAATCAAAAAAGTAAAGATACCATACCAAGACTAAGGGCTTGTTCACACAAGTGCGTTCCAGTGTGCTCAGTGGCCGTAACGCACTGGATCACATAGAGCAAGCCTCCCTGCATTCTGGGGAGCATGCATTATTTTTTGCAATTGCATCGCACCAGAATGCAGGGCAGTGCTATACCACACATTCTGGTGAGGGCGATTGCACTGTGACTGGAAGGTGTGTCTGTTGTGCCATTGATATTAATGGCAGCGCCACGACCCCTCCCGCCCCAGAACGCAGGGAGGCTTGCTCTATGCAATCCAGTGCGTTGCAGCCACTAACCGTGCCGGAATGCACTGGATATAGTGTGAACAAGTCCTTAGTACACTTTGCAAGCTACTGCTTGGGTATAATTAACATTTCATCTAATAACATGGTAAGCTTCAATTTTTTGAGTGCTGGTCCACTTTCATTCCTTGCATATCACCTGGTGTTTCTTTATAATACGTCCCCAGTATCCATGTCTGCTTTGGAAGATATAATCACTTAGACTTTCTAGGACCACCTCCCAAATACAGACCCCTCTAACTATCCAAATTATACCCCTTCATTAAATTGTCAGGTATATATGCCATGACTGCCCCTTCAACCTCCCCCACTTACTTAGACTGGGCAATTATTTTTAGCCAGGACTTTGAAGGTCTTTCACTTACCAAAGAATCTGCACTGGCTTACACTATCCATATACATTTGTAATCTGTTAAATAGACACTGTCACCTTGCCCATGCAGGGCACGTTAACAGTGCATTTGTGAAGGCCTCCTCACCCCAATTATACTGGCCTTACCTGGGCTCCCTCACAGCTTCTGCCTCTGCTGCAGCCGCCACTAAAATCCAAGGGGTTAGCTGGTGCCAGATGCTAGATGGGATCAATGACATAAATATGCTCTTTAAAAGACCTATGCAAGTTAAGATTATTATTTTTTCCAGTTTGATCATTTTGCAATTATGCCACCATGTATTGTTTACCAGAAAGCCCGACTGTTATACCTTTTTTCACTAGTTTTGTCCAGCTTTGTCTCTGTGGAATTTTTGGCTGTTTTCTGTGACAATTAGGTGGATGATAAATTACCTCATCCTCCAATCATATGTGATTCTTCTGTTCTGTCAATACAAGCGTTTTCCTATACACTCATTCCTGTATAATGACACTCCCAGGAGACCTTTAATATATGTCCTATTCCTTCAGCTTACCATTGTGGTCAATGACCGCCAGTTTTGCAATGTAAAGTAGATTGGCGCAGCGCCATATGTCCATACGCCTTATCTCCCAGCTGCAATACTTAATT